GAGATAGATATAGATAGATAAGTGATAGATAGATAGATAGATAGATAGATAGATAGATAGAATGAGATAGATATATAAGATAGATGGAGAGAGAGAGTACAGACTGGTAGTAGATAGATGATAAATAGATAAATGATGGATGGATAGATAGATAGATAGATAGATAGATAGATAGACAGACAGAGAGATAAATATACTGATAAATACTGTAGATATAGATGTAGATATAGATATATAGATGATATAGAAAAATATAAAGTGCAGAGAAGAACAACAAAGGTGATCAGAGGACTGGAGACTAAACTGTATGACGAATAGTTAATGGGCCTGGCTAGTCTAACAAAGAGAAGGACCAGGGGTGACATGATAGCAGTCTTCCAATCCTTGAGGGGCTGCCACAAAGGAGAGGGGGTCAAGCTATTCTCCAAAGTACATGGTTCTGCAGAGGGGGCCTTCACCAGGTCAGTTGAAAAACCAACAGTTCTCCTTTTACTATACATAAGATTGGTTAGTGCTAATCGGGGGTTAATGTTAAATATGTCATCAACCCAGTCCCAGAGTAGACAGCAAAAGAATCACACAAAGCGTTGCACAGGCTGTGCTGTTCAAAGTTGTTCACAGTGAATTAAGAGCTGCTATGGCGAACTTGGCTAGTTTTCATTTCGGATAGGTTTTTAAAATGTTGTGTGAACCCACCAAAATGTTGTGTTTGGCTAGTTTTTTTTTTTTTTTTTTGTTCCATGAATTTTGCGAAGCTTGGAAAAAGGATAATATCAACAGCAGAGAGAAGTTGCTCTTTGAGTAATGTTTTTGGTAACTCAAAAGTTTAAAATGTTGTGTGAATGTTTAGCTAATTTCTTGTTCCGTGGATTTTGCAAAGCTGGAAAAAGGATAATGTCAGCAGCAGACCAGGTTTGCTCTTTGGCTAAGGTTTTCAGGAACTAGGAGTTTAAAATCACAGGTTGGATTCAGCCGGTTCGGACTGGTTCGGGCGAACCGGTTGTTCCGGTGATCAGTTGGCTCCACCCACCCGCCCCTGCGCTAGTCTGTCCTATATTTCCGTGTTTTGCAGCTCAGCTGATTCGCGCGGCACAATGGAATGCCTCGCCTCAGCTGTTTTACTCACCGGGGCTGCGGTGGAAGGTAAGTTTTAGAGCTGAAGATGGACGGTTTTCAAATGCAGTGCGCGCTCACTGAACCAGTTGTTACACCGGTTGAATCCCACCACTGTTTAAAATGTTGTGCGAATGCACCCTGTTTAGCTAGTTTTTTTGTTCCACGGATTTTGCAAAGCTGGAAGAAGGATAATGTCACCACCAGAGAGGAGTTGCTCTTTGAGTAATGTTTTCAGTAACTCGGAGTTTCTTTGATTAATGCTGCTAGCTGTTTGAAGTAACACAGAAGTCTGATAAGAACGGGTTCAAATTTGCGGAAAACAAACACTCTCTTCTATATACATCAATTTGAACTTTGTTAATTTGCAAACTCGGCATAATGGAAGAACCACACTTCCTGAATGTGAAAATGAGCATTAAGAAGACCCCACTAAGAATATTATGGGATGCTATAGAATGTTACATGGTGCATGGGCAATGTTAAGCCTGGATTCCCCAATGGGTGTTAAGGAAAACAAACTAAACAGAACGTGCAGCGAAGTCAGATAGGAAGACAGGTAAATGTGTGAGATAAGTTTTTTAGTTAACACGCAGTAAAAATACAGATACGCTTGTGCTATCAAAAATATAGTTTATTCCATTTAAGAATTATAGCATAGTCATATAAACGGTCCATTAGTCATATATCAATTTCAGTCAATTCTTGTCGGGGATACTCTATTTGCAAAGTCTGTGTTGAATAGCCAATGTCAGTACACTTACAATAAATCAGTCCAATCTTTATTTTCTCTCCATTGAGAAAAATCAACACTCCTTTTTCTCTCCCCGTTCCATCAAGAATGCAGTCATCAGCCCATTCAGTAATTAGTGATCAGTAAGCCAGAGCGAGCGAGCTGCAATTGCCTCGCTTCTTATATAGTGCTTTTACAACCACACCCTTAATTACATTCTTGCAGTTAAAGTTACACACACTTTAACTAACAAACCATGATACCTTATTTATTATTTTTATCCAAAACAGTTAGGGTAAACAATGTTATCCCTAACAGTGCATGGGCAATGTCAGCAATGAGTCAACCGATGCCAACCAATGAAGACTCTTTCCATACCCATATATACTGTGTTTCCCCGAAAATAAGACCCTGTCTTATATTTTTTTGCCACCAAAAAAGGCACCAGGTCTTATTTTCGGGGGATGTCATCCACTGACTAACCTCACTTGCGTGTGTCACCCCTGGCCTCCTTTTCGCTGTCAGAGGCCTTCAGGAACTTCTTCTGCTGCAGCCAGCAAGGCTTTCCTGATGGCCTCTGCAGCCGACAACAGAGCTCTGGATCGATCCAGAGCTTTGGTATCAGCTCCAGAGGCCTTCAGGAAAGCCTTGCCAGCCTTGCCGGCTGCAGAAGAAATGGGCCAGCAAGGTAGGTGTCGGGGTGTGTGAGGCCCGGCTACACCTGTCCAAAGGTAAGTAGTAGGGCAGCTCCAACCCCATCCCCACCCGAGCTTAACTTTTACCCGTCCATTCTGGAGTGGGCGGGAATCTTAGTTAGGGCTTATTTTGGGGGTAGGGCTTATATTGGGCGTACATGTAAAAATCAAGCTAGGACTTACTTTCAGGGTAGGTCATATTTTTGGGGAAACAGGGTAGTATTTGAAGTGTGGATAAAGTGATTTAAAAAAAAAACACTTTCCAAGTGGGTGAGGTGTCCCTCCTTACCTGTGTATATAAATACAGGTACAGTCCTCGAGTTACAATCATTTGTTGAGTGACTGAAGTTACTACGACACATGGGAAATTGTGACTTATGACCATTTTTCACACTTATGACCGTTGCAGCATTCTGATGGGCACATGACCAGATGTCAGATGTTTGGCCACTGGCTCATATTTACGACGGTCACTTGATCCCCTTTTGTGACCTTCTGACAAGCAAAGGCAAGGAAGAAGACAGATTCACTTAACGACCGTGTTATTAACTTAACAACTGTAATGATTGACTGAACAATGGTGGCAAAATGGGACAAAACTCCCTCCTTTAACAACAGAAAATTTGGGTTAAATTGGGGCATGAACCCGTCGTTCGATTGATGGTTGATTTCTTCAAAATTCTTTCTTCTAACCCTGCTGTGATTGAAATTATTATTATGCTCAGTCACAGGATTAGCCCGATTCCTTCTTGGTAGCTGGGGAATTCTGGGTATTGAAGTCCATAAGTCAGTGATGGCGAAACTTTTTGTTGTGGTGTGTTGAAAGCATGTGCGTGCATGATAGTGCGCACGCGTGTGTGCCGGAACCCACAATACAATGTGCCCCATCCCATGCATATGCGTACGCCATACCCTCGCCCTGCCCCCTTATCTGCACTGTGCATGCGCGCGCCTCCCAGCTGATTTTTGGCCGTTTGAGGCCATTTTCACCCTCCTGGGAAGCCTCTGCAGCCTCGGGAGGCCGAAAAACCGGCCTTTCGGAAATACTGGAAGTGCCCATTTTCAGCCTCTACGGGGCCTCTGGAACCTGGCGGAGGCCATTTTCACTTTCCTGGAGGCATGAGGGAAGCCTCTGGAGCCTGAAAGTGGGCCATTATGGCACTTCCGGTATTGTCAGAAGGCCTATTTTTCGGCCTCCCAAGGCTGCAGAGGCTTCCCTTGAGCCTCCAGGAGGGGGAAAAACGGCCTCAAATGGGCCAAAAATCATCTGGGAGGCACGCGCATGCACAGAGCAGGTAAGTTTGCCTGGGGCTCGCGTGCTCCCAAAAATGGCTCTGCGTTTCACCTGTGGCACGTGTGCCGTAGGTTTGCCATCACGGCCGTAAGTCTTAAAGCGGCCAAGGTTGGAGGCCTCTGGCCCTGAGCCTTCCTGAATACTAGCCTTAAAGAATTGATTAAATTCACACCCAGACAAACCACACACACACACACACACACACAGAGACACACACACAGAGCCACACGAAAAGCTGGAAAGCATTAGAGAACCTGTGTGGAAGAGGACATTAAGAGGGGATGATAAGGTCATTGCGCAGAGCCCCAAAGTCAAAGGCGGAAGAGTTAAGGCTCCCCAGATATTTCTGACCTCCTTCTTCGGCCGTCATTATCGTGGCCTCGTGTGATTTCCTAATGAAAAAAAAAACAAAACCCATAACTAGGGGCTTAGGGGAATCTTAACTCTGAATCTCCTGCTCCAGCCAGGTTTAAATCACCGCCTTAATGTTGCATTAAAATGGAAGTTCCCTTGAGCCACAAATTAACTCCAAGACAGGAGAGCCAAGGATACGGGAAAGATTGGGAACGTTGGATGAGGATTTATGTGTGGAAAGGGCAGGTCAGGGAACACCACGAGAATGCCAAATGGGTTTTTCAAGGTTGAAACACAAGGACAGTGAGGAGGATCCGAGTATCATCTATTTGAGGCTGATGGGATGAACTGGAGTCAGAGTAATAGGGTGGGAAGGGACCTTGGAGGTCTTCTAGTCCAACCCCCTGCTCAAGCAGGAGAGCCTATAACACCTCAGGCAAGCGGCTGTCCAATCTCTTCTTAAAATCTCTTCTTAAAAACTTTCAGTGTTGGAGCATCTACAACTTCTGGTGGCAAGCAGTTCCACTGGTTAATTGTCCTCACTGTTAGGAAATTTTTCCTTTGTTCTAGGTTGCTTCTCTCCTTGGTTAGTTTCCATCCATTGCTTCTTGACCTGCCTTCTGGGGCTTTAGAGAATAGTTCAATCCTCTCTTTTCTGTGGTAGCCTCTCAAATATTGGAAGACAGTTAACAGTGTGATAATAGAATAGAATAGAATAGAATAGAATAGAATAGAATAGAATAGGAATAGGAATAGGAATAGAATAGAAATAGGAATAGAAATAGAAATAGAAATAAACTAGACTAGAATATACAATAAAGAATAGAATAGAATAGAATAGAATAGAATAGAATAGAATAGAATAGAATAGAAGAACAGAAATAGAAATAAACTAGAATAGAATAGAGGAATAGGAATAGAAATAGAAATAGAAATAAACTAGACTAGAATAGAATAGAATATACAATAAAATATAGAATAGAATAGAGGAACAGAAATAGAAATAGAAATAAACTAGAATAGAATAGAATAGAATAGAAATAGAAATAAACTAGAATAGAATAGAATAGAATAGAATATCTGAGTTGGAAGGGACCTTGGAGGTCTTCTAGTCCAACCCCCTGCTCAGTCAGGAAGTGCTACACCATTTCAGACAAATGGCTGTTCAGTCTCTTCTTAAAAACCTCCAGTGATGAAGCGCCCACAACCTCTGGTGGCAAGCTGTTCCACTGGTGAATTGTTCTCACTGTCAGGAAATGTCTCCTTGGTTCTAGGTTGCTTCTCTCCTTGATGAGTTTCCATCCATTTTGTTTCTTGTCCTGCCCTCGGGTGATTTGGTGAAGAGGTTGGCCCCCCTCTTTTTTGTGGCAGTTCCTCGAGTATTGGAAGACTGCCATCATGTCATCCCTGGTCCTTCTTTTCATTAAACCGAATTCCTGCAACCGTTCTTCATATATTTTAGCCTCCAAGTCCCCTCATAGCAACAGCACTTAGACTTATACGCCACTTCATAGTGCTTTTAACAGCCCTCTCTAAGCGGTTTACAGAGTCAGCCTCTTGCTCCCAACAATCTGGGTCCTCATTTTACTCACCTGGGAAGGACGGAGCCTGGTGGGATTCGAACTGCCAATTTGCAGTCAGCCGGCAGTCAGCAGAAGTAGCCTGCAGTACTACACTCTAACCACTTCGTCACCACGGCTCCTAATCCTAACCCATTGTTGCTCTTCTCTGCACTCTTTCTAGAGTCTCCACATCTTTTTATAGCGTGGTGACCAAAACTGGATGCGATATTCCACGGAATGGAATCCATCTTTTGTCTGCCTGAGTTTATGGGATCACCAGCATACTGTGAGTTCTAGTCCCGGTTTTAGGCACAAACCCAGTTGGATGACTTTGGACCAATCACCAGGAGACTGTGAATTCTAGTGCCCTCTTAGGCCTAAAGCCAACTGGGTGACCTTGGGCCAGTCTCCTTCCACTCTGTAAGAGAAGGAATGGCAAAAGATGGAGGCGGAGTGAAATGAGGATTCAGCCTAGAATCTCTCCATAGTTGCAAATGAGCTAAATCCAACCCACCTGGAACCCCATTCTCCCTTACCTAACTCCTAGCAGGCACTATTAAATTAAAGCAATTTAATTGGACCTTCGCACACAGGTGGATTTGATCTTTCGCACCTGACAATCTTCTTAAATCAACATTTTATCCAAGTTAAGGTTGAGTATGAACAATACATTGTATTGTTGCTCCGTTCATCATTTTGAGGCTGGCTAGCACACTCCAGCTTGCTTCCAGAACTTGTAAATGCTCCATCACTGGAAGTTTTTAAAGAAGAGATTGGATAAACTATTTGTCTGCAGTGGTGTAGGGTTTCCTGCCTAAGCAGGGGGCTGGACTAGAAGACCTCCAAGGTCCCTTCCAACTCTGTTATTCTGTTATTCCCCTTCCTTCTTCTTTCTTTCTTTCTTTCTTTCTTTCTTTCTTTCTTTCTTTCTTTC